GTACTCCAACTGTACTCCACCCGTACTCCAGCTGTACTCCATTTTTTTTTTGAAGTAGAGTGAGTCTCGCTTTTTCCCCCTTGGGTCATAGTCAAGTCAAAAACTGAAATTTGATTTCATTGGATATGGAATTTGTGCATCTGTAGTACCGTGTATGTCTTTTTATTTCGAAAAAACGATATTGTTTTAAAAGTAATTGTCAAAATGATAAAGAAAATTAAAAGAATCGTACTTGATAGTGTTGCTGCAGAGTCTCACTCAAAATAAAAGCTAACAACCTCAAACTTTGTAATAATTCAGTATCTTTCGAACAAAAGAAAGTTTCTTTTTCCAACACGTTTTTTCATCACCCAACACGTTGTGTTAAAAAAAAATATACCACAATATCCAGCGTAAGAAGCTCTACGATTCACAAGGAACAGCTTATTTTATATCTGCACCTGTTGTGATCAAAATCGATGAAATTATGTGCGACTAAGTTTCGGCGAGACGGAACAGTGGCTAGCCAGGAATTTTCTAAGGGAGGTGCCCGGCTCATTTTGAAGGGTGCACACCCGCAGCAAAATAAATTTTTGTTTCTCGGAAAGATTTTTCCCTCGTGCCCCCCCCCCCCTCCCGCCTCCAGATGTTTCTTGGCCAAGGGGTGTGCCCAGGCACCTTGTGCATATCCCCTGGTTACGCCTCTGCTACGGAGAAGATCAGTTTTTGATACACAATCAATTCCTTGTCTCATGTCATCAATTAATGAATCATTGTTTTTAACTCTATCTCATTGTATATTGCTGTAATTGGAACACACATCGATTATGACCTTCGATGTAACTCATTAACCAAAACAATAAGCAAAGAAATTGATCGTGTCCCACAAAGTACAATTTTAAATAAGCTGTCCTTGGTAAGTTGTAGAGCTTTCTCACACTGCATCTTGTGGTGCATTCTGTCTTTTTAACATAGTGTATTAGTTGATGAAAAAATTCATTAGAAGAAGGAATTTTTTGTTCGAGAGAGACATTATTAAATAGGTACAATAATCTACGAAACTTTCAAGAAATTTGATGTGTTGAATATGAAAGCAAAACATTTTATAATCATTTCTGAACTTCTAGGACACTCTTTAGATTTTGATCCAGAACGATACCAATGCTATTCAAATGATGTTCACTATAAATCGATCGTCAACTCGAATATGTCCTCCTTTCGATCAACTGTCGACTTCTCTATTACTATCTTTTCTGTGGATTAAAATTTTTATTTGGTTTTTTGAGTTCATACAGATAGATGATAAAAGGAGACGAAACAATCATGTTAAATCGACGAAAAAGAAGGTTCAAAATTGTTGACGAATGCTGTCCAATAACGATTGTAGTTGTTTAGCGTCTTTGCCGAGTAAATCGAAAAGGCGTTTGCGAGCTTTTTGCACTACACCATGCCACATTGTCGATATTGTAGTGAAACGCGTTTCAAGTACGACAACGACAATGGCTGAAATAAGAATTTGCTGATTGTTGAATGATGGAAAACTCGTCAGTAATTTTCCAGTCAATTGTTCTATACTTTTTACATCCAAATCCCATAAGCCATCAAATTTTTGTTTATTGATCAAGTAGCGAACAATATTTTGATCTCCAGTAGGCCACGCCTCATCTTTTTCTTGGCCGATCAAAGGCTGTTGGAGTGAACTGGTTATATCGTAATTTGTAGTGTGAGTCAATGGTATTAAATCGTTAGAATTTGTTATAGCGGTCTCTAACAGCTCTTCATTCGCAAAGTCATCTGACCAAGAATCTGCTTGAGACATCAGATTTGAACCCCAACAACACGTGTCCACCCCTGACGCAGATTCCTCCATCCAATCCATCGGCATTGGTGCTGCCATCGAACGATATGCTATTGCAGTAGGTGCCATCATACAGGAAGTAAGATTCATGAAATAAGGTGCCTGCAAGTGTTCATCATCGGTCGATATTTGAATTGGTACTTCACGTAAGACCATATCAGCGTTGCTAGCATTGGCTCGTTTTTCAACACCGATAAAAGCGGTGTGAGGACTCAGAATTTGATATTTAAGTGAAAGTTCAATGATGCGTTTTTTTATGATTTCTTGCTCGTCGATTGTCGTTGTTTGTGTTGGCGACGGATAATCTTTCTGAAATCGACTTTGTAGCGAACCTGAAATGTTTTTCTTGACCGATGAGAGCAGTTTCGAATGTTGCAATTCGATAATGAGTGCTTTGGCAGCAAGTCGAGCAATGGCTCTATTGACACTGACGTTCGGTATTGTATCAATCTTTGCTGTGCCCAATCGTGTTTTATCGGTAAGTAATTCGACACTGGAATTATGATTGAAGACAAACATAGGATCACCAGCAAGTGCATAGACAATCAGACGATCATTAACATAGACCGGTGGCACTTTTGTAGGTGCACTCATAACATTAGTACCCAGATTCCATTTCACTTCTATGTTCGTTATACAAGACTGGAGAGCTTTTTGTAGTTGTTCACCAACGTGAACGTCAACACTATTGTTAGGTGGAATAAAAACAAAACGTCCATTTGTTGCTCGAGCAAGGCCTTTGACCAAGGAACGACTTGGTGAATGACCCAAACCAAATGAAAAAATTCGTGTCGAAGTAGCCATCGAACGACACAAATCGAGTACTTTGTTGACGTTTGAAATTTCTCCGTCAGTCAAGAGAAATATTTGCCGTGCACAGCCTTGTCCTGGAGGATGTTGTTCTAACCATTGAAGTGGACCTAACTAGAATAGAGACATATCGCCAATTTTCTAAGATAACATCGATGAAGCTTACCAATTCAGTACCACCCAAATCAGCTCGTAACTGACTGGTGAGTTGTTCAGCTTTTTGAGCATTCTGTTCGTTGTAAATAGCAGTGATCTCTGTAAATAATGCCTCATGATTTGATCCGAATCGTATAATATTAAAATGGCAATCCACTGGCAGACTCTTGAGAAAGAGTAACATGGCTTCCCGTGCCAATCCGATTTTGTTCTCATCTGCCATTGATCCACTGCAGTCGACAACAAATATAAATTCATTTGTCATCGCGACATTGTTCATTACACGTTGGCAATCTTCTTCAGTTGGTATAAATGAAGCCATAACGGCACCAGATTCCACGGCGACAATAGTATTTGAACGATTGTCAACTAACTCAATATCTACTAAAATATCTCGATCGAGGTGAGTATTTTGTTGAGCGAATTCGACGACATAGACATTCTCTTGACAGACTCCAATCTGAATTGGATGGGACGTCGAGCTGATTCGAGAGACGTTGGCTTTCTCTACTCGACAGTGAAATTCAATTGTGTATGGAGCTGTTTGAACGTATTTGGATGTTGTACCAGCCGGCGAGCTGATGCCGCCTTTGTCTGGGTTGTAGCGAGGTGCAATAGTTGTCGGAATAACAAAGCGAATCCGGTTTCTATTTTGAACCAAATCCAGTTCGGAGACATACGATATATGAATGTGACATTCTTTACCGGGTGGTAGTGCACCGATGTTGATAATAAAATTATCTTGTGATATTTCATCTTGTTCAAATAAATATGCTCCATGACTTTGTTGAAGAGCATCACTATATTCACGTTGTGCTTTCTTTTTTTCTTTCAGTTGTGCTACAATTTCTCGATCATCAATCCGAGTAACGAATGAGTAAATTGCTGCTTGTTCTTCTATCGGAAAACAGTAGACGGCTTCGATTGGTTTTGTATCATCGTTGCGAAAAGTTTGTTTGACAGTCACATCGGCAGCAAACGAGTTAATGTAGGCTTCGACATGCACTTTTTTCAACGGTACGTATTGTTGTTCTGGCTGCTGAGTAGAAAAAGAAGACTCTTGCTTGATTCGGAGCATTGTAAAGAATAAAATGGTTATTGTTGTTGTTGTTGTTACTCACTTAAATACCCCACTGATTGCAGTCTAAAGGTTATGAGTCAATATAGAAATGGGAATAAAATATACCATCCTGCGATTCATAGAAGAGAAAACAGAACTGACTAACAGTACGAATGGCGTCCACACAGCTAATAGTGCGATGATGAATCAGTTAACAAAAGAAAGGATGTAATTTAGTCTTGTTCGCGCACAAGTCCAATTATGGTATAGTCCATCTCATAGTGCTGTGAAAGTATATTAGTAGTCGAATAGGATTGGAAGTGCAGTACAGTCGACTCAAAATTTAAGCAGCTTTTTTCTATGACTCATATGTCGCTAGATAGAGCTCACAAAGCTGTATAAGGAAATTTGTGTTTGAAGATTTTTTGTTCATTTATTCAAAAAAAAATCAAAATTCTTGGATAACTTTATTCAAGAAAAGTATGGCCTAATTTTAACAAACAATGATTAAACATCAGTTTATCCTTTTCAAAGAATTCTACAAGTATTGATTTCATAATCAATATGAAAAATCGCACATAAAGGTATGGCTGTGAGCCTCTTTGTCGTTCACACCCATCTTTATTTGTAATACAGATAAACACGAGCGATAGAGGCAAATATTAGCTTATAGTACGGATAATCATGACGGCGATAAATTGAACAAAGGTGCTCTACCGTATCAAATACACAAGGGAAATACGTTAATGAACGAGAGTATAACGACCAACTGGATGAGTAGCTTGTCGCCACCCTCGGCGATAATGTTTATTGAGCTACTTCACATACAACACACGCTTATATATATAGGAGAGAGAAATGAGCACAGCAAAGAACAATAGAGAGAGAGAGATAAAGAGGAAAGGAAGATCGATGGGAGGTGATATCAATATCGGCACAATAATCATAGTCTATTGTCTGCTCATAGACTGCACCGATATTTCTCCGATTCAGAACTAAATATTCATGATTTTCTAATAAGACTTTCTGAAATAAATCTTTAGCTTTGAATAAACATTGAAAAGCTCTCTCATAGTCACTGTTGGGAGTAAACATGCTTCCAATATCGTTTACCATGAAACCTTTATAAAAACAATCGTACTTAAACATTATTAAGGCTGTCGAAAAATATTCGGCAAATAGCTCATACGCTTGCTGTCGGTGATAGAAATTATCAAGAGATACCATTTTCATTGCCGTTTCACTGCGTTGACTCTCTTTTCCAGCCGATAGTAGAAGTTACCTCACTTTAGTTTTCTAGCCGCTGATGAAAGTTCTTCAAATGGCTTAACTTTGTCTCGACATTCTATATAAGATAATATTCTTTATTATTCAATTGATCATGCAAGAAATGTATATACATCGACAATACATGTATTATCATTTACAGGTACATCGTTTAATACACAATTAAAGTCATTTTCGGCTTTACCATATGGTCCCAATTCGTAGAAAAAACACGTGTATAAAGATCTTAGTTGTATTTTGTATCGATTAGAAAATTTTGCATGTATTGTAATCAACATCGATAGCTATCAATTGATATATACTTTTTTTTTTGTTTTTGCGTTTTATTGTAACACTCTGAAGTGCTTACATGAGGTGTTAAAAGAGAAACAAAGAGAAAAAGGGGGAAAAGACTAAGGAAGGGTACAAGAACAAAAAATACAAAAGAAAAAGAAAGAGGGAAGAAAAAAAAAACAAAGAAGAGGGACGGGAGAAGGGGCAAGTGCAAGGTCACCGTGATTCTTATTATCACAGCTGAGGTTTCNCCTTTTCCTGCAGTGGATTTTCTCTTTGGAAAAATATTTTCGTTTTCTCCCAGCAGATCCTCTTTGGGAAAAAAATGTCCCCCCCCCCCCTTGGTCAAAAACAAATGAAAACTCTGCCCACACCCAAGATATATAACAACAATTTGGACATCGCCTTATCTGTTTAAAACTATCAGTCTCATGAAATGAACAATGACGAAAATACGAACTTTATTTTTAATTAAGCTTCTTCCCTCCCCTCCGCCAGAGAAAAGTAGTGTACTGAACTTTTGATTTGTTTCGCTCGTCAAAAGCTTGAAGGTGAAGTTTTATAGCAATCTAGCTATTCTTATGTTGTAGTTATGATTTGATTCGCTAACGAGTACAGAAGTGTACAAGATTCAATAAATTGGAGTTTTCAAAATGTCTAAGAACTTTAATACGAGCTATGATAGTTATCAATGGATTAAAAGTTAGCTTTTATACTTTTCCAGTTTCGTGTTATCAGATAACTTGTATGATGCGTTTATTAGACTACTTTTCTTATTCACACGTTCATCTGTCATCAGCACTTCGTGAATCTTGATATAGATATGTTAAATTCCGCTTATTGTGATATCTTGGTTTCAGAAAAAATTTCTATGATGAATGTACTAATACGACTCTGTCAGGAAATGGCATCTTAAAAGCTTATGTATAGTTTTGGAAATGCAAGATATTTTTTCAGTTACCTTGACAAAAACATAAAGTAAACCCTCTACTACCAAATGTGGGTTTCTCATTTTTTATAAAATAGATATTTCAGACCCTATAAATATTTCAACAATGGATACCATCATACTCATCTCAACTAGCACTTCTTTGTGAGTCCGAAAACCTCTCGCGTAACTTCAACTGACCATCATTTAGCATTTTAAGATATTTTATTCTTCAATAAAAGATTATCCATATTTCTGTCACTTTAATAAAAATTTATATCGTTTCATTTCTATATAGTCTATAATCCTGCAACACGAAGAAGAAAAATAGCTGTTTGCCATTAATGTCCATACGTGCACATTTTTTGGCTCACGAAATAAACGTGTGTTGAAGTAATGTATTCGATGATTTACATTGCTATCTTGTGCTTGTTCAAATAGGATAGACTTCAATTTCATGGGAGATTTATGTATACCTGGTAACAGCTATAATAAAATTAATGATAAATAATTCAACAAAAGATATGCCATCAGAATTATTTATCTAAGATACTCAAATCAGTTCAGTATTTGAATAATATTCTAATATCAAATAAATAACAAGCTTAATCGAATCGGTGATGATGAATTTTATTTATGGGTTTTTATTTTGAACATAGATTTAATATTTAGTTCAGTTCAAAGCGACATTATTCATAATGTATGATTATAAGTAAAAAATAATTACTTATAGTTATAACTTCCTCTTATAATAAAATATAGATGGCACTAATTTATAACTCATTATTCTTATGATGATCTATCAATGGTTTTTGGTTAACCACTTAAAATATTTGAATATCTACTTCTAATAAATATTGGATACACTTGGATGTTCCAATGTCGACCTCCTTTTCTTTTCTTACAACTCGTTGTTTATTTATTTACTTGTTCTTTCATTTTAGTATTTCATCTTTTTTTTTTCATTAAATTCCTATCTATTTTTTCCTAATTGAAGTTTAAAGAAATCAAACGGTATATAATTATATTAAATGAAAATTAAATTTGCCATCATTTATTTTCTTTTATAGCTTAGACAATTATGCCTCCACCAAATCAATCTCCCAGTCAACAATTACCTTCACGAGAAAATGGTTTATTCAAAAAATTGGTGGTATGTGAAACAATCTCTATCATAAATCACTATGCTATCTATATTATATCTATAGCGTTTTTATGAACAAAAACAATATAAAAAAGGTTTAACAGCGGCTCGAGAAATTCTAAAAAAATTTCCAAATCATGGTGGTATGCATTCTATATCCTTTAAAAACAGAAAAGAAAAACTTAAATTTCAACCTTGTTTATTCTCTAGAAACATTGGCTATGAAAGGTTTAATTCTTAATTCAATGGGTAAAAAAGAAGAAGCATTAGAAAGCATTCGTAATGGCATTAAAAATAATATGTCAAGTCATGTTGTTTGGCATGTTTATGGTCTATATCAAAGATCTGACCGTAAATATGATGAAGCAATAAAAGCATATAAGAAAGCATTACAATGTGAAAAGGTAGGCGAGGTGAGATAACTATTTTTTTTATAAACAATGGCTTTAAGAATTGTTCATACCGATTTAATTCTGAGCTTGTTCTGTCATGGACACTCGTATAATCAATCTAAATAATGGCTTGAATATAGAAAGTTATTTTCAACAAGGTTTTGAAGGAGCTAAAACCCCTGCAGTATTCTCAAAGACCAGAATCTCGAGGAAACCAGAAGCCTAATTTTTCAGCGATCAGCACCCTGAAATAAAAACTCGTTGCGACACTTTGGATGAAATTATATACATTTTGAGAGAGGTCCAGTTTTTTCCTTAGAAAATAACGAAAACACGATTATCCGAACTTTGGCAGAAAGTAAAATTGAGATAGAGATTTCTAAATATTTATTATTGAAAAAGAAAGAATGAGAGACAAGCCAAAATACTTACAAATATTACTTTATCGACTTTAAAACATGTTCTTACTATAAAGATGTCGGTAGATTTGTTTTCTCTTCAGTCATTACACCCGTACCCACATCCTTTCGATCCCAATTCGACTTCATAGCTTATGATTAGGAGGGGGAAGCAGGGTGGTTTCCCCCTCCTAAGTTTTTTTTTACATTCTGCCTTTCTCCCAGGAAATTTTCTGTTATGAAGAGCTAACGGTTTTTAATCTTTCGGTTGACCAAATTGGCTATGCATAAGCAAAGTTCTGTTTCCAATTTTTTTAAGAGAACAAGCTATTTTCTTTCAAAGAGAAAAAAAACTAGGCCGTCACTCGAGCAAAGCTCGAATAGACAAGGCGGCGGACTGTACGAGCCCGAAAAATGCCAGAGCACGACTGTATACGATATCTACTATTTCAAAATCTTAGACTCGGATAGAGAAAATCATTATGAATTTAAGTCTCTTTCTGATATCTTGACTCAACTGACAAGTGAGAGATAATGAATCGGAATCTGCTGTTGCTATATAAAGAATATTGCAGCTATCAGGTCATACGATTAGG